TGACATCGCGTACCGGAAAGGATCAACGAAAATCTGGGTACCCAATTACCCTCCTTTGCGCCAGTTACTACTCGAAGAATACTACGACGTCCTCTACGCCGGACACTTCGGTAGCAACAAGACGCTGACCGGTATCGCAAAGCACTACTACTGGCCCCACTTAGCAGAAGATGTCTAGAAATTCGTCACCTCGTGTGATACATGTCAGCGGATGAAGAGTAGCAAGCAGAAAAAGGTGGGACTACTGCAGCCTCTTCCTGTCCCAGAACAACCATGGCAAGTGGTTAGCCTGGACTTCATCACCGGGTTACCACCTACCTCCAGCGGTCATGACGCCATCCTTGTCATTATCAACAAATTCTCCAAAATGGGACACTTCATCCCGACACACACGACAGCACGCACCGAAGAAACAGCACAACTCTTCGTTCGATACATCATCTCATAGCATGGCATTCCAACCACACTCATCTCCGACCGAGACCCTAAGTTCACCAGCAAGTTCTGGAAGGAACTTATGTCTCTCCTCGGGACCAAACTCGCCATGTCATCCGCTTACCATCCGCTGACAGACGGACAGACCGAGCGCCTCAACCAAATTGTTGAGCAACTCCTCCGAGCAGCCTGCAAGGACGAGATCTCCTAATGGGACTTGCACCTGCCCGTACTAGAGTTTGCTTACAACAATGCTATACTTGCCGCTACTGGACAGACGCCGTTCTTCCTCTGCTACGGACGCCACCCACTCACACCACAAAAACCGACAGCATCCGCTACAGTCCAACCTGCGCATGATTTTATCACAACCATGCATCAGCTTTGGGATCGGACCCACAAGCGCCTCCTCGACATTCAATAGCAACAGAAGCGCCAGGCCGATTGCCATCGCAACGATCACACCATCACGGTGGGAGACCAGGTACTCCTTGACACCCGCAACCTGGACATCAGCCATCTCCCATCTAAACGTTGACCTCGCTTCTGCGGGCCTTTTCTCGTTGAAGCACAGGTCACTTCTGTTACCTTCCGCTTACGCCTGCCAGTTACCTGGAAGATTCATAACGCCTTCCATGTCCAACTTCTGAAGCCCTATCGGGATCCGAACACGATCTTCGTCGGACGCCAACCGCCGCCGCCACCGCTCGTCCTCATCCAGAATGAACCCGAGTACGAGGTCGAGTCCGTGCTCGCACACCGCCGTCGTCCGAATGGCACCGTGGAGCTTCTCATCCGTTGGAAGGGTTATGATCCTTCTGAGGACAGCTGGGTACCTGAGTCCGACATGGGTAACGCCCGTCGTCCTCTGCATAAATACCTTGTCAAGCAGGGTGTTACTTCTACCACCCAGCTTTGAGGGGGGGAAGTGTGAGAGTACGACCCCGTTACACCACTTGGCCTTTTTTCTACTTCCTTCCTATTTTCATTTCTCTTTTTATCTCATCTCATTTCGGTTCCTATTCTCCCTTTTCCATTAACCTATTGGTTTCTCCTGCTATGATAGTTATATCACCGACCAGGCTTGGGATGTACTGGGCGCTCTATCTAGCGTAATCCTGCCGTAATCCCTTCAAGCCAATAGCCTCGCGTGGCTATACGCAGGGTGATTCTATCTTCTAGAAAGGTATATTCCCTTAGGATAAGACAAACCTGGTTACCTGATGTACTCTGGAAGTATAAAAGCGCCTTGTACTGATCGATAGTGCAATCTTTCCTCGACACATTCGATCCTGTGACAGTGGTCCAGGTGTCGGCGTTGAGGAGCAACAGCAGCAGTCGCCGTTGGTGTCCGCCCTTCGCCTGCTTGGCCTTCCCTCCCCTGACCGCTCGCCTGTGCCTCCCACGCTGTCTCCCCCTCTTCCTGCTCACGGTCCTGTGTTTCCTCCGCCGGACTCGTCTCCGGCTCGTTTCCCCTCTTGTTCCCCTCCTGTTACCCCTCCTCTGTCTCCTGACCCGACGCCTCCGTCTCTCGTCTGGTCTCGCCGTCCTTCTCGTGCTCGTCCTGTCTCTCCTGTTCAGCGTTCTCATCCTATGTTTCTTCGTTCCTACGCGTCTCGTCCTCCCCGTTTGCCTTCGCCTCCTACGTCGTCGCTCACTGTCGCGCCTCCCCCTCGGTCTGACTACCTTCGTGCTACTCGTCCTCTTGTTCCTTGGGTCCTTGCCTCCCTCGTTACCGACCCGTTTGTTCCTATTTCTAGTCTTGACGCTCTTGTAGCTGCTGTCGCTGACTTGCCTCTACTTGCCGCCTTGACTTCGCTACCGCCCTGGTCTCTGACCCTTCCCATCCTCCATCCGTCGGGGGTGCTCCTGCCCTCGGCAGTGACGTCTTGAAGGACCGGCAGTACGAGCTTGCTTTCCTGTCAGAGGCTGCTCCCCATCTCTGTTCCATGCTGCTAGTCCCTGAGGGTGACCCCGACGCCTTTGACATCCCAACCCCTCGCACCCACGCTGAGGCGACCTCGGGACCCTGGGCCTCTCAGTGGATTGCTGCCATGGAGCAGGAGATGGCATCTTGGAAGGCTACGGACACCTACGTCGACGCAGTTCCCTTACCTGGGGTGAACGTAGTCGATGGCCGGTGGCTCTTCAAGGTGAAGCGCCCTCCTGGAGAGCCGCCTGTGTTCAAGGCGCGCTACGTGGCTAGAGGTTTCAGTCAGCGAGAGGGGGTGGACTTCTTTCAGACCTTCACCTCGATCCCAAAGATGACTACTCTTCGGGCGCTGCCACACGTAGCAGCACAGTGTGATTACGAGCTTCACTCCCTCGACTTCTCCACTGCTTTTCTTTAGGGCAGCCTACACGAGCAGGTCTACCTGCGCCGCCCTCAGGGCTTCACCGGTACTTTCCCTCCTGGGACCCAGTGGCTCCTCCGGCGCCCCGTCTACCGCTTGCGACATGCGCACCGTGAGTGGCACGACACGCAGCGTGCCATGCTACTGTAGCTGACCTGCAATTCTTTCCGCCCTCTGCTGACCCTTCGCTCTTCGTTCGTGCTGACCAGACTGCGTTCTATATCCTGGTCTATGTAGACGACCTGGTCTTTGCTACAGCAGACAGAGACGCGCTGGTCTCCGTGAAGGCTGAGCTGCTGAGGCGACACATCTGCACTGACCTGGGAGAGCTGCACCATAACCTTGGCCTGCAGATCTCCAGGGACAGAGCAGCGCGCACCATCACTCTTACACAGTCACATTTGGTGCGCCAGGTCCTTCAGAGGTTCAGTATTCAGTTCTCCTCCGCACAGCCCACACCTTTGCCGGTAGACCACAGGCTCTCAGCTCCAGTTCCCGAGGAGTCAGCAGAGCCAAGTGGTCCTTACGCAGAGCTGGTGGGTTGCCTCATGTACCTGATGACTTGCATTCTCCCAGATCTCACATACCCTCTCAGCATCCTGGCCCGCTTTGTGGCCACAGGCAGACACCGACCACATCACTTTTTGGCCGCTAAGAGGGTTTTGCATTATCTTGCGAGTACATCAGGCATGTGGCTAGTGCTGGGAGGACGCAGGCCAGTGGTCCTTACTGGGCACACAGACGCTTCTTGGGTAGACGACACTGAGACCCTCTGGTCCTCCCAAGGCTACTAGTTCAGCCTTGGTTCTGGTGCCACCTCGTGGAGGTCCACTCGTTCCTCGTCTGTTGCTCAGTCTAGCTACGAGGCTGAGATTTACGCCGGTGCCATGGGGGCACAGGAGCTCCGCTGGTTGACCTTCTTGCTTGCAGACTTAGGTGAGTGACCTAGTTCTGCCCCGGTTTTGTACGCTGACAACAGGGCCATGATCCTCCTATGTCAGGAGCCTCGACTTGAGGGCAGAGCGAAGCACATCCAGCTGCGGTACTTCCTCCTGCGCAAGCTTCAGCAGTGTCGCCAGGCCCGCGTAGTACACTTGGCCTCCGGTGCCAGCATAGCTGATATCTTTACTAAGGCGCTTCCGCCTAGAGATCATCAGCGGCACTGCTTGCAGTTAGGTCTAGTCCCTGTTGACTCTCACTTGCTAGGCCCTTGATTGTGTACTCCCTTTTATTTATGCCTTATAGACTGGCCTTGTGGCTTTTCCTCCAGTGGTTGGACTAGTAGTGCCGCCCTGGTTTGCTCTGTCTTGCTTGTACTCTTGCTGACTTGTCTTCGGGCCCCTGCCTCAGAGGTTGGACTAGTAGTGCCACCCTGAGCTGCGTGTTTCTTGCTCAGCGCTACCCCTTATCTAGCTTAGGGGGTGTGTCAACTTATACATATATTATTATGTATAAGTTATAGGCTAGATAGGGTATGTTCTTAGTGGGTACAACCCAAACGCTATATCTCCCCTGTTCTCCCTTCTTCTATTCATTCTTTCTAGTCTTAACACATACCCCTCCCAACGCTCACCTCCAAGAGCTGCCCTCCATGCAACCGCTCCTCCCCTCATCCTCCTCCTCCCCCTCTTCCTCCACTTCTTCCACCTCCTCTCCCTCCTCCTCGACCTCTTCTTCTGCATCCCTTTTACTGAGGGGGAGACTGCTTGGTCCCGGCTCCGCCTCTCGCTTATCTCTCTCCCGCCCGCTCAGGGGCGGACGGCTGGCAGTCCCTACGTGCCAGGAGTCATACATAGTGGTTCTTGGGGACTTTTGCGCACGGATTATCAGGGCCAATAAAAGAAGCTTAATGACGGCTATGCTTGTATCACAGCTCAGCTGTATGTGGGGCAGACGCTCTGCACTATGAGCTGAGGGTTAAGAGCCTTCTACTACCCTATGATTCGGGAGGGCTTCTGTGCGCAGATGATTTACCTCGAGTTCCATAGCAGTCGCCTGTGAGATAATAAGAGATGTAACCGTCTGTTAAACACGGTCTTTATGCACAGATTAGTGGAGCCACATTTGGTCCACGAGATCCAGGAAAAATGCCTCCTGGGCTAAGAACGTTAGTGGGTTTAATGTAGTGCCAGCTTATTTTGCTAGGATATATGAAGGAATATAGAGTTTCTAGAACCCCTCGTAACAACCCCTCGTTTCCAGTACAGTCTTGTACCGAAGTCCAGTGCCCAGCCCTAGTAGACACTAGTCTACGCGACGTGTCAGAGAGGCAACAGTGCATGCGGTTGCGTGTCATGCGTAAAGCAAGCTTGCGTGGACCTCGTCGCTGGCGTTTCGCCATGGCGTCGCTGGCGTTTCGCCGCTGCTCGAAACGAGCACCTTGCGAACGTCCGCACCTAGCGAGTCCGTATCAAGCAGCAGCCGTCGTCCGTCCCCGTTGCCGAAACTAGTGTGACTCGGCGCTGCAGTCATTGAACAGCGCTGCAGTGGTGGCGGCGCGAGAGCCCGACCCTCCCAGATGAAGTCCGTTCTCCCAGCTGCGTGCTTCCGGGGAAGACGGCTCGGAGCCGCTTGGCCGCTATTATCGCGCCTCTCTAACCGCCACCCTCAGATAGTTTTCCCGAGCCCGAGGCTCGTTGCCGCAACAGGGCCCCGCCCGGGCCGTCGTCGCTCTTATCATGCCTGATAAGGTTCATCCCCATCCCCATCCCCCCGCAATCCCCAACCCCCCCTCCCCCTGCCCCACCTCCTCCTCCCTTCCCCCTCCTCTCCCCCCCCCACCCCCCACTCTCCCCCTTTCGACCTGTGAATGGAAAGTCGTACTCGTTCTTTGCCTTGTGAGCAGAAAGTCGCCGCCTTTGCTGGCCACTCCGTTCGTTAAAGACAAGCGTGTGCTGTGCGTTCTGCGGTTGAGTCGTGCTGTGACCCGGTGACCCTGTGACCCTGTGCGTCCGATGAGCATCCCTGCTGCTTCGCCGCATGATACCAACGCAGCTGCTGCTGCTGCTGCTGCCGCTTCTGCTGCTGCTGCCACAACTGGCGGCGCCCCTGCAGCAGCGGCGGCGTACCCAACCTATGGCGGGGTTCTGGTGTGCGCCCACTGTCGCGGCATGGCTTGGTGGGCCTACCTTATCCTCTCCGTAGTGTGCATCGCTCTTATAGTAGCAGTTTTCTGTGTCTTATATCGAGTCATATGCTCGGGACTGAGGCGGTGGAGGCAGTGCAAGCAGATCCAGCACCACCAGCATCAGGAGGAGATTCTACGGCCGGAGCAGCAGCACCATCAGTGGGATGCAGAGCAGCAGCAGCAGCAGCAGCAGCATGTGTGGTCGGAAGAGCAACAGGACGATGTTGTTTTGCCGGTGTCAACAGCACCACAGGGGCAGGGGCCGTATTCATCACAATTTGGCTTTCCTGTCTACCCTCCAGCTCTGTGCAGCGGACAGCCAAGCAACCAGAGGTAACTTCAAGGTGGCAAGGCAACTCCAACAGTGGATTGTTTGAGACTGGCAAGAGTCAAGATACTACCACCAGCATTTGCTGTGTCTGATGGAAAGCAAAGTGAGCAGGTGGTGTAGAGCAGTGGAGCCTTGCTAGCATGCTGCAAGAAGTTGTTCCCGCTGTAGAGTGTTTTAAGGGTACATTCATAGCTTTACGGAACGGCCAGCCACGCACGCAGAGCCGGAGCATGATGCACGTGCGAGGCCAATACGATGCAGGTGTACATACATACACAGACTGCGCAGCGCACACAAACAGGTAGGACAGAGTGGGAGGGAGGGAGGGAGCCTCCAATCCAAGGCAAGCCAAACTTGTCCGCCCCGAATACCGGTAGAGTAGCATCAGGGTGAGAGAAGAGAACAAGCAGATAGGCTGACATGACAGCTGTGCCAAAACTCGCATGGCAGTGACCAATGCAGGCATGGCCGAACCGAAGCCTTTGTTACAATGAGGTGGCTTAGTGTCGCAACGCAAGGAAATGTCTGGAGTTAGGCCGAGTGTGAGCAGTTGCAGGTTGGGCTGACATGGTTGCCATGCCGAGATTGGCATCGCTGCCGAAATATCTACATCTTTTTACGCGTGAATCCCCTCGTCACAAGGAGATGTCCGGAGGGAGGGAGAGTGCGAGCAGGTGCAAGTTGGCTGACATAACTGCCATGCCAAGGAACATGGCCGCCACTGCCATGCGATGGCCCGCATACTCGAATGCCAAGGGCAGCATCTCGTGGAAGGTGAGGAACGCCATGATGCCACCCACTGCATGCACAAGCAGGCACAAGCAAGTACAAGGAAGCGCACGCAATACAACCTGAAGAACACACAGCGAATTTAAGCAGAGTCATGAAGGCTGGGCGAAGAAGAAGAGAGCGATGAAGAGGCGCTCAGCAGCACCGCAGAGAGCAGCAAAACAGAGCATACACCACCCACCCATGCGGCACGTACCTCCAGCCAGCAGCCCTTCTATGAGCTTTGGGGCAAGCGAGGCCAGGAAGAAGAGAGCCACGAAGAAAGCAGCAGCACAACACGGTGCACACACCACCCACGTACACACGCACCTCCAAACAGGAGCCCTTCTATGAGCTCAGGAGCAAGTGAGGCCGGGAAGAAGAGAGCCACGAAGATGACACCTATGGGCTCAGCAGCCCCGGAGAAAGCAGCAGCAGCACACAGTGCACACACACACAGCCCATACACCATTCACCACCCATGCGGCACGGACCTCCAGCCAGGAGCCCTTCAATCAGGTCAGGAGAGAGAGAAGCCGGGAAGAAGAGAGCCACGAAGATGACCCCGAGGGGCTCAGCAGCACCGGAGAGAGCGGCGGCCCGAAAGGCGGCCCAGCGGCTGCGTGTGCCAAAGTAGATGGGGAGAGCCACGGCGAGGCCCTCTGGGATGTTGTGCAGCGCGATGGCCACTGCCAGGCTGATTCCCACCCTTAGGCCCTGAAGGCAAGGAGAGGGCAAGGAGAGGGGAGGGGAACGGAAAGGAAGGAGAGGGTGGAAGGCGGCTCAGCGGCTGTAAGTGCCGACGTAGGGGAGAGCAACAGCCAGACCCTCTGGAATGTTGATCAGGGCGATGGCCACCGTCAGCCTGACTCCAACCCTTAGTTTATGAGGAGAGGGAAAGAGGGCGAAATGGGGCACACAATTTGGAACAATCTCCTACACTGTTATGGTAGAGGTCATTGCACATACACAAGGAAAACAACACAGACATAACAGCACGGTACTAGTACCTTCATGGATCCAAGGAACACGGCGATGCCCTCCGGGAAGTTGTGCAGGCTGATGCCAATGGCCGTGATCACGCCACTCCACAGCACTGCTTGCCTCCGCCTCTGCATCTCCCCCTCTCCCAACACCCCTTCCCCCACCTCCCTCTCTCCCGCCAAGCTCGCTCGCTCCTCCCGCTCCCCCCATCCCTCCTTGCTCCACCCGCCCTTTTCCTGTGCGGCTCCCAGTAATCTCCGTCCCTCCCCCTCTCGCTCCGCCCCTCTTTCTTCCTCCTCTCCCACTTGTCTATTACTAGTACTCCCCCTGACAAGGCTCTCACGGCCGTCCCAAGGACTGCTTTTGATCCCACTAAGCCAATGCTCCACCCGACCATCCCTGTAGCTGTCCGGACCTGAGCCTCGGACAAGGTCCGGAATCTCCACCTGACCAGCTCTTCCCGTACCTGACGCCTGGTTTGGATAGGATTCGGGGCCTTCCGAGCCTAAAGCTTGGGGGAGTTCTAGGGATGAGACGGAGGAAGGGAAGTAGGATGAGGAGGAGGAGAAGGAGGAGGGGGAGGGGGAGTTGAGTCGGGCGAGTGCTTGTTTACGTATGAGGGGAGGTGGTGAGTCTGGTGATGGTGTTGATATTGATGGTGCTGGTGCTGCTGCTGGTGCTGGTGCTAGAGATGCAGCTACAGCTGATGCTGGTGGTGTCTGACGAAACTGAAGCATCTGCCCCTCCTCCGTGTAAGGTTCGGATACAGGGTCGGATGTATGCTCGGACAGAGGCTTGGAAGAGTCCATGGATGGTTCGGGGGCTAGAGATGGCTCGGGAACGAAATGCACGACTGCTGCAAAGAGAAGCGCGCCGGCGAAGAACTATACAAAACATGTGGGGAGCAAGGGACGAGAGAGGAAAGGGAGAAGGTGTAGGAGAGGAAAGATTGGCTGACGGGCGCCTCAAGGCGAGAAACACGAGGCGGGGGAATGCCATAGAGTCCGAATGACCCCACATGGGAATGGAGCGGTCGTGCATCGGAATAGCCTCACATGGCCCAGAGATTCGAGCATGATCCAATCCCGAAGAACCCAGCCATGGGAACTCACCCATAGATTGGCTCCAGGAGACTTTTGAGACGACTCAAAAGTCACCTAATCCAGAAGAACCCAGCCACGGGAACTCACCCATAGATTGGCTGCAGGAGACTTTTGAGACGACTCAAAAGTCACCTACTCCAGAAGAGCCCAGCCACGGGAACTCACCCATAGATTGGCTGCAGGAAACCCGATGGTTTCGATGGCTTCAGGCACGAGGTCGAAGAACGTGAGGCTGAGCATGAGCCCGCTGGCAAAGCCCTGAAGGGGAGGGGGTAGGGTGGGGGAAGGAAGTTTGGGAAAAGGGGGGAGGGAGGGGGGGAGTGGGGCGCGGGGTGGGATGGGGATACATAAAGTGTGTCGACTTTGGGAGGGAATCTGAAGGTGCGGCTGAGCATGTGGCTGCTTGGGAAGCCTTGAAAAGGGGGGGAGAAAAGAGGGAGGAGGGGGGAGACATAGGAGGAAGGGGTTGACGAGATTGAGGCTCAACATGACATGTGGACCTGTTCAGGATGTGCACATGGCATGTGGACCTGTTCAGGATGTGCACATGGCATGTGGACCTGTTCAGGATGTGCACATGGCATGTGGACCTGTTCAGGATGTGCACATGGCATGTGGACCTGTTCAGGATGTGCACATGACAAGGGAGGCGTTCAATAAGAGTAAGAGTTGTACCTGTAGAGGGCCCATGGTAACAAAGATAAGAAGAGGTGTACCTGTAGAGGGCCCATGGTAACAAAGATAAGAAGAGGTGTACCTGTAGAAGGCCGAGGCGTTTGATGTCCGGGACAGCTTGAAGCACCACGAGAGCACCGCCTGAAGTACGCACAGAACAACATGGGAGGAAGGGGGAGGAAGGGAGAGGAAAGGGGAGGAAAGGGGAGGAAAGGTTAGGAAAGGGGAGGACGGGGGAGGAAAGGGGAGGACACGGGTGGACACGGGAAGATAGGGGAGTATACGGAGGTATAGGGGAGGAAAGGGGAGGAAATGGGAGGGAAGGGGAGGACATGGCAGGTGGAGAACCAAGAGTGGTCGAGATGCTTGATGCTTGTCGCCAATTCAGAGCGCCATCTCAAAGGACTGAACACATGAACTTGGTAGGACGAGCCGACCTCGCACCAAATGCGGTCCTTGACAGTGGTGCTGACTATGGTGCGTCTCACCTAGAGCAGTGCGCCTCACCTAGAGCAGTGCGCCTCACTTAGAGCAGTGCGTCTCACCTAAAGCAGTGCTCAGGCTGCCCACGAGTGTGAGCGCCAAAGCGATGCCCACTTGGGGAGACAGGCCGATGCCGAACCCCATGGAGGGGAGCCCTGCCAGCACGGATGTGACGGTCGCCATCACAGCTGCGGCTGCGTGTGGACCTGAGTCCACCACTGTTGGCACAACTGTGCTTACCACTGTGTTTGCGGCTGCTGCAGCAACTGTGAGTGTGTCTGAAAGTGTGGCTGTAGCTGTGGCTGTAGGAATGGCTGTAGCCGTGGCTGTAGCTGTGGCTGTAGCTGTGGCTGTAGCTGTGTCTGCAGCTGCACCAAACGCGACGCCAAAAGACGACACGGATTCCACAATCTCTGGTGAGACTGCTTGTAACGCGTCCACTTCTAACGCCCCCGCTTGTAACGCTCCTGCTTGCGAGAAATCTAGATCAAATGCTGCCAACGCTGTTGCTGGAGCTGCTGCTGCTGCTGCTGCTGCAAGCGCTGCAGATGTTGCAAGCAGAGGAGTGGCCGCTGTTGACGTCAGACGATCAGATAGCCGCCGTCGAGGGAGCTTGGATGCTTTCAAACGACGCGAGTAGACTCTGGTGCCTGCACGGTGACGGGAAGGTGCTACTGTTACTGTTGCTGCTGCTCCTTCGTTTGCTGATTGTGTTCCTTGCACTTCTCGCCTTCTAAGAACTGCGCTTGATCTTCGCAATTCGACTGCTGGCGGCGACGACGTAAAATCGACCACCGAATTTAGACTGCAGATCGGCTGAAAGCGTCCCAATTGTCGGCTAAGCGTCACGCAAGGCAGGCACACCTGTAGGCGAGAGAATTGGCGGGAAAACGGTACCGAAATGTGGTTTGAAGTTAGTTTTTCGCCTGAACTTGGAAGCACAAGCTAGGGGGTAACTTCAATAAGGTGACTATTGACTCGCTTCAAAAGTCACCTCTGAACTTGGAAACACACGCTAGCGGGTAACTTCAATCACAGTTATCGAGCAAAAGCATCCACAGCTGTAGCGAATTCAGGCACTTGGCACAACCGTGCGGAGATTTACTCATGTGAGGTAATGGAGCTAAGAATCTGTGAGCAACAGTTTACGAATTATGAGAATTCGGACTGATCACGCACCTAAAGCGGCAGACTAAACGAGCCGCCAGCAAGGACATGAGTCCTGTGCTAAAAGAGCAGCTCGGATTTTGGGGACTTGTTTCTTCGATTCTAGGGAAAAATACAGCTACACCGCCTTTGCTGAGAGTGTAGCGATATAATTTGAATCTCAAGAACCGCGCAGCGAGGATTAACGACGAATTGGCTATCTTGTGCGGAGACTGCGGTTTACTGATGATTTTTTAGTCGACTCAAGAATTGGCTACCTTGTAGTGCGGAGATTGCGGCGCAGCTTGACCACTGGAGAAGACTCGTGTCGGTTCACGCGCGGAAACACGGGAGCAGCAATATGCCATGGGCGAACGGAAAACAGGCTGCGATAAACGGAAATTGTCACTCGCCGGCCATGGCGGGATTCTGCTCGCCGATCTGCGTTACTAGTGAGCCAAAACGACTTGATGCCGACGACTAGATCACGCCAGTGCACCGATTCCTAATCCTAATTCATGAGCACTGCCGTCAGTCCTAGCTGTGGTAACGCGTAGTGCGCAAAAAAAAAGCGAATACGCGTCGCGACAGGGTCCAGGGAGTCAAGAGAAACGGTGAGCGAAGATTCAAGCGGATGGGGTTCCAAGCAGCGGAGAGTCGTGCATTATTGAGCCGTCAAACGCGCCGTGAAAGGCGTTCTCTTGCTTGGAAAATGTAAATGGACATCATCCGTCCTGTTATTCGAAGCTCAGCCACTCTTCTCACCCTCGTCTCACAGGACGGGATACTGTATTTCTTCCTGACGTCGGGATACCGAAGTTTAAACCTTTGCAATCCTCTAGAAGCTATGGAAACCGTCCTGTAAATCTGTGTCGCGTCCAGGAAGGAGAATGTTGCATTTCAATAATTTTTGTGCATGACAGTGAAGCTCCCTTCCCTCCACCACCCCCTCAGCAGTTGCCTTGCCTCAACTCCCCCAAACCAAAGCCCCCCTCACTTCTCTCTGCTCTGCGGATCCTCCCCCCCTTCTCAACCTTCTCGCTCCCACCCCCTCCACCCCATCCCCCGGCCGCCACTCCACCGCCCATGCACACCAGCCACATGTCCCCTGCTCGATGCCAGCCACAGCCCACGCCACCCAATCCCAAGACGCCTCCAATTGGCGCCCCACCAATCCCAAGGTGCCGTTCGATCCGCCCCATTCTCGAACATGCAAAGAGGAATCTGTGTACGGGGAAAAGGGTCGAACCGAGTGGATGAAGGGAACCTAGGCGATTGTGTTCATCTGGTTGTGGGGGACGCACAGAACGTGTACCTGTGTCCCACAACGAATCACGTGCAACCAGTGGCACTCATTTCTGAATGTAGAGGCAGGTTTACATTCCTTACATGGCCACAAATACTCCCATATAAAATAGTTGTCCTTTACACCTGCCTGTCCCTATGATAGGAAAATAATTCATTTTAACCTATATATGTTACACATTAAACAGAGTATCTTTTGCGTGCTATACAAACATATGCATTGTCTGGTTTGTGCATAGAGCAACTTTTCCGTAGAGTAAATCCATTATCTCATTTATGAAGTAGAGTAACACAAATCTGTTTGCGCGATGACGTAACATGCGATCAGGTTTCATCGACGAGACTGTCCATTTCCAGCTCCCACGGGAACATCTGCAACAACCTGCGCAATCGCATGAACCCTGATCCAGGGCCAAAAATATCCGGGTGAAATGCCCGATTACCCTGATTTTAAGGGTCATTTTTTACACTAGTCTGATCTTTCAGGGTTTGAATTTTTAAAACCCTGATGTAAAAAGTGTTCCCTTTTTTTTTACCCTGGCTAAATCCGGGTGTGCGCCCGGCCAACCCTGATATGTCAGGGTGGCCCATAAATTACCCTTAATGCAAAACAGTCAAGTTCTTTACGCATGGCCTTTTTTCCTCGCGCACCATCAGCAAATGCCATCCACATTCCTACCACTTGCGGCAGTTTGCCACCCTGCCCCACCAGCGCTGTCGAATATTCCCCTCCAGCTGTCAGTGCGTCAGCTTCTGTTAGGCCCGCTATTGATCGCTTTGGCAGCAATATTGCCCTGGTCCCAGCCGACGAGAGTTCATTGCATGTGACGCTTGAACCGTGCCCTCGGTGCGAGCCTTTCAGTTCCAGCATAGATGGGACTTCGATAGTTCACGCTTGAACGCGGCCCGCATGACTGCACGAGAAATCTCAGCTAGGTGACGACGGCTGGCCCTCCATCCCTTCCATCGACTTCTTTATCCCCCCCAAACCAGACCCCGTGTTATCACCCTTCCCTAGGAGAACTCCCTCTCACTAGCTTTCTCGAGCTGAACCAGTAGATGAAAGTCGACAATGACGACGAACCCCCTCAGTCCCGTCCTTGTGACGGCCTTAGCATACTGGGGATCTTTCCTCTCAAGCCTCCCACGGTCGTACCACTGTCTACTGGAGGTACGGGGCAAGTATTCCGTGCTTCACAGTCCCCCCCTCCATTGAGGTCTCCTCGTGCAGTCTCGTCGCCGCGCACAGAAACGACGCCAGCGAGGGGTCGCCTCCTGCTGTCTTGCTGCCCCATGCGGATACGCCACCCTTCAGCTACCCTTTTGAGCCTAGCTCCCCCGAGACGTCTTGGTACGCTCCCGCCGCCCCGCCGTGCGCATCCGCCAGTGAAGGTTCCTCGGGCCATGCGACCGAGTCTCCAGCACATGCCAAGCGTAAGCGCGGTGGATACACACAGCAGTGTCTCCCCTTTGCGCCACCGCCTAAGGAACCTCTGACCCCCATGGCAACACCGCCTCCTCCTCCTCCGCCTCGCAGTACCCCGGGCACCGATGCCGATACGGAGTACGACATCGTCAACTGCCGCTACGTCGATGACTGGTCTCGTCGCTTCCCGTGGTTGCGCCTGCATCGTATGAAGAATGGCCGCCCGTCACTGAAGTGCGCGATATGTCTGCAGTACGGCGACATTTTCAGCAATACGAAATACAGGAGGAAAAGCGAGGGCGGACGTAACCTGCAGGTCGGCAGCATCCGCACTCATCTCGGAACCCGAGCGCACAAGGACGCTCTCGTGGCGAAAGAAGAAAAGGAGGGGGAGCGCGATCGCCAACGCACCCTCGACCGGTGGCAGGGGACGGACGCTTCAACGAAGCACCTGATTCGGTGCCTCCACATCGCCCTCTTTGTCTGCAAGGCGGATGTGCCGATCGCCATGTTCATCGTGCTCTGCTTCTTCCTCGCTCATGAAGGACTGCCAGATCTCCCGCCAGGAGGGGCGTACGGAACCTACTATACCGAGTAAGTTGTTTTAGCCTGCGCCTTTTAACAGCTCTCGGTTGTTTATCTTGCTTCCCACATGCATCGAAATATTTATTCACCTTACATAATGAATACTAACTCGGTTTGATGTTGCCACACTCCCCACAGCTACGGATTCAAGGAGTGCTTGAAGGCTACCTCACAGTACCTTCGCGACCGCCAGGTGGAGCACATCCGGGCCTCCCTGTTTGTTAGCATCTCGATCGATGAAAGCACGGATAGGGTGCATGGCAAGCACCTTATCTTGTATTCAGAGCCACTACATCAACTGTGGTGATGGTATTCAGTTCGGCAACGGCGACAACGAGCTCCTCGGGCGTTTCTCGACCGCCATGGCTCTGCAGACAAGAGGCAGCACCGGGTGTTTGGTGTGGACACCGATGGAAACCCCCAGTCCTTCATCTACACTCTCCATGAGCGACAGCTGGACAGTGATGAGACGGGCAGTGACTTGGCGTGATGCAACGTCATTGTGCAGAAGTACGCTAGTGATCTAGTCATCGGCATCAATGGCCGCTTCAACAACCTCTACAACCTTGACGGCACGAAGCTCTTCAAGGTGAAGGCCTACCTCAACAACGACGACCTGCGCATGGTCCGCTTCAGGCAGTGGCTGAGGCAGCTGGCCGGACTCTTCAGGAATAAGCTCCCTGGTAAGTTGTGTGCTCAGTACATGTGTGTTCACCATGTGAGTTTGCCCAATGTGTTTGCAAATAAAGCACCAATGTCTCACAATCCCCTCTGTTGTTTACTCCTCATTGTCCCCCTGCAGGTTTCGACTACCGGAAGGCTGTGAGGGAGCTGCGGATGTTCACCAGCACCATGGCCTCGCAATACAAGGACGACGACTTCTACACCGCACTGACCCTCACCCTCGACAACAACGACTAGCAGCGAGGCTACCCCAACATCATGAGGCGGTGGCAGTGCTGCCTCTCAGCACTGTTGAGTGCGAGCGTGGGTTCTCTAAACAGAACCTAATCAAGACCTGGTGCCGGGGTAGCCTTGGGGATGACCGCTTGGGTGACTTGATGCGATGCAGCTTGCTGGAGTACCAAGTGGACTGGTACGCTGTCATGGCTATCTTCCGTGCAGAGAGGCACCGTCGCCCCACCCGAGACCTTCATGGGGTGAATCCGGCCCCTGCTGCACCTGCTGAGCCCCAGGGAGAGACTCAGCCTCTGGAGGAGCCAGTAGTGGTTGAGTAGGATGGCTTGTATAGCCGCAGCTAGGGTACATTACTGTTGCATGCTGACACCTAAGTAGCTGTAGGTAGGCTAGCTTAATGAAAGTATGTAGTCGTAGGTAGGTAGGCCATATGGAGATAACTGTGCATGTTAACTGCAATATTAAATTGCACACTTAAGTGTACTGCAATCAATGTGCGTAAAAAAATACCCTCAACAGACAGGGTGCGAAAAAAATTAGGCTGCAGAATCAGAGTCGAAAAAGAAGTCACCCCTTACGTCAGGGTGTTTTGCCAGGAAAACCCTGATTCCTAAGTGTGCTCTAAAACCAATTTTGGGCCCTGCCCTGATCGTGACAATACGATAATATGTGCCGCCCGTAAACTTCCAGCTTGAAGTACAGTACAGTTCAGTTCTGTGAAGTATTTTCCACGTTGGAATCTCTACTCTCACCTTCAGTATTTTCCAAAATACAATGCAGTAACTCATTCCAATGCCAAGATCTACAGCACGAGAACCCCTCTCAGCAACAAATTTGCTCCTATACAGTACAAGCATGAAATATTTTCGTACTTTTCAGCAGGCACATCTGCTGCTTCTTGCGCTCCGCGCCCTCTTGTCCAGCCGAGTCACTGATCGCATTTTTCAATCAACTGAGGGCCGTGCAATGCCGACTGAGGGAGGAGGCAAGGGAAGGTGACTGTTCAGTTTAGACCAGAGTCCAGCCTTCGGCCGACTGGCGATGGGCGCAATTGTGCTTTGGAGAGGTAGTGCACGTGAAGGCGAGGTTGGTACTTTAGCGTGCGCGGCGAATCTGACTCGTAGAAAGAGCTTTCGTACAGGAAACGACTTCTCCACGGCTTATCCATGGTCATGTTCGTGGAGAGATCCCGAGGTTGGCGGTCGCCACCATTTCCCAAGTCGGTTCCAATCTTGCGGGATTCCCAGTCAAGAGGACACTGCGTGTAAACAACCAAGGACTTATGGGAAAGAACTTCGAGCTCTCCCGTGACTACCCTACGGCGCAATGGCTTCGCACACTCTGTCCATTAAGTGTGGGATAGGGGCCGCATTCAGGCGGTAGTGGCGCCATGCGCATCCACGTGTAGTGTCCAACGAGTCGTCGTCGTCGTCGTCGTCGTCCATCCCAAAAATTAGGGTGGCAAAATGATACCCCCAAGACTGCCGCAGGTAACCTGAG